CCGGGCCCCCCCCCCCCTCCTGAGAGACCGAGCCGCCCCCCCCCTCCTGAGAGACCAGTCCACCATTCCTCTCCTGAAGGACCGGCTGGCCACCCCCCTCCTGAGATACTGGACCACCCCTCTCCTGAGGGAATGGATCATCATTCCTCTCTTGAGGGACCAAATGGCCATCCCCTCCTGAAGGACTGATCTGCCAACCCCCTCCTGAGTGACCACATCAACATCCCTCTTCTGAGAGACTGGACCTCCTCCTGAGGGACCAGACAGCATTTCCCACCTGTGGAACTGGACTGCCATCCTTCCCCTGAGTGACCAGTCTGATATTCTTCTGAGGGACCAGATTGCAATCCCCCTTCTGATTTACTGGACCACCATCCCTCTCCTGAGGGACTCTTCTAGGGGACCAGTGCACCATTTATTCCGTCCCTTGCGAGTGTCCCTTCCCATCTGACAGTACTACACCCTCTCCTGTGTGACATGACCACCACATTCTCCCCTTTCCTAAATCTAAAAGAAGACTGTTAGCTGTTACCACAACATGAAATGTATTTCCCCCAAATTAAACATACCTTAATGCCAGTCTTCCAGTAATAATCCCGGATAGCGCGAACCATGACTAAGGCAACAGGGTATGTGGCATTCACAGATTCCTTTCCAGTAGATGTTTTGATGAAATCAGAACCTGTAATGAGATGGACATAGAGCTTTGTCAAGCATCTCCAGATTCAGAGCAGCTACAGCTGGGTTCATCTCATTCTGCAAAAGGGCGCAAAACAAAATGTAGTTTTTTACCAATTCTACTCCTTTATATTTATGGAAGAAACCAAAACAGTTTCCCCCCCCCAATATTAGATCAGTTATGCTATTAAGGCAAAATCAATTTCCATAATAATAATAATAATAATAATAACAACAGGTTAAGTTTTTTTTCAATGAGAAATTACACCACTTGTTTTTTCCGTCCAAAGTTTCCTTTTTTTTTTAAAATCCATCCTCGGCCAGCAAAATGTTTATATTTTGAGGAAAAGCAATAGAAGGTTCTTCCCCAAGGATGGTTTGTTGCTCTTACTGCTGTTTTGTGCGGTTTTCGCTACTTACAGCTATTATCATAGAAGTAAAACAGCAAAAAGCAAAATCTGTAAAAGAAGAATGCTGGATTTTAGTGGTTGTTTTATAGCCCAAAATATTTGGTCTTTTCACAGAGAGAGAACATCTTAATGCTCCAAAATGGTACAAAACATCCATAATCACTATACTGCCACCATCGCCATTATCATAGATAGCAATTCAAGTAGTACTAAAGGCTAGGCTTTTTTTTTTTACCTTAACCCTTTCGCTGCCAAGCCCTCCGGAACATTTTTCAAATCAGCTGGCCAAGCCATTTTTGAATTTTCTGCAATTTTTTCCTATTGATTTGATTTTCAACTGCTGCGTTGCTAGCGTTTGTAAAAGACCCCCCCAAACCATATATTTTCTGAAAGCGCAGCGGTAGAAACGGCATGAAGGTAAAAAATGCCCAGCACCTTTCCATGTCCCCCTTTCCTCAAATACTTACCTGTGGCCGCTTGTCGCATCTACAGGGCCCAGGAAGATATGTGGTGTTCCCTGAACCTCCTGGTT